CTAAATTACTAAAATCTGCACCAAAGAGCTTCCGAGTTATAACTTACCATCTCCGCTCTGGCTTTTATCCCCTCGACTCGAGAACCAGCGATTATCTTTTTCTGCGCTTTGTTTCCACCTGAAGACAACAATGCCATTGTTAGTATCACCCACAAGCTTTCGGACGCAAAATAGAGAGAGAAAAAGGTTCTTCTTTGAGTGCCAAACATTTCAGAAGTTAGTATTGCGTAATAACTAATGACGATTCATGAACTAAGTTTTTCTTGGTAACAGTCATGGAGATTTCTGATATGATATTTATAGTATACTTAAGTGCATGGAAGTAGAAGCATGGAACTTTTCTCAGATCTCAACTTGAAGTCAATGATAGGACACAGGTGCAAACAGAGGCTAAGGTTGTTAAGGTAATAAAACATCTATTAGGACTAAAGAGAGACAAACGGACCTTGACATCATCGGCTGGAGATGAAGTAAACCCGTTTGATTTTTTGACATCGTCATCAGAACTACATTCAGCACATACAAAGTGATCAAGTTTCTTCGCTTCCTCAATCGTCATGCCAACACACGCAGGATGATACCTACAACACCAAATTGCAAATCTTACCATCAACAATACGTGGAAATGGATACCAATAAGTTTTAAAAACAGATATTTAAGTCTCTTTCACGTCGATAAAAAGACATATTTCAACATTTACCAGTCTTTGCAGCCTTCACATTGCACCATGAGATCGTCTGGGTTATACGGCATTTCACATTTGCAGTACCTTCAGAACCAAAGAATAACCCACAACATAATAAACAATCATGGAAACTCCAGGTAATAAGAAGACATATTTCTCTGTTGATAACTATTTATCCACTTACACAGCAACTCGGTCAGGGGTAAAAGCGCCAGTAGCAGCTTTGTACTCGAAACGACAATAATAATCCTCTGCCCCAACGTTTTCAAGCCTCGTGTAGTTTTTGAAGGTGTGAACGATGCATTTTCCCTCGATGGTGTGCGCGCTTTGAACGTCAAAATGGTCAGACAAGAAAAGCTCTTTGGCTCCATGGAACTGTCTCCTACCACCAAGAGACTCCTCAGGACGGTAATACCATCGACAGTGAACCTTCACATTGTTCCTCGCATCTGCTTCAATCTTCTCAACACGAGCCACATACGGTGGCTTACCAGCATCTGATGGTCGCATCAACACACAATCTCCCACTGCAGAAAATAACCTCCACAAATTACTTCAATAGCTCATCAGTGCTAAAGATTACTAAATCGATATGAATCTCGCAAATACATAAAGAAGCTTTCAAGGATACTAAGTATACCATCACTCTTATTAACCTAGTAACCAGAAGAGACCAGAATTTTAAGTATATGCAGATATTTCATATGCGAAAGCACACATTTTGCGTGCACACTCGTAACGAGCTACAATGCAGCTAATAGAGATGCAGTAAAACGAATTCACATAAGAAATCAGACAAAAGAAAGAGTCCATGTTTCACAGTTAACCAGCTAAACACAAAATTCTTTCATAGAGACCAACAAAAGCAACTAAGTAAGACAATTCAGCCTAAATCAGAACATTTCACTGACCAAAGGTCACATTTTGCGACATTGCATAAACCAAAGACTGTCCCAAGTGTAGTTACGACACAGTGACATACACAGTTAACAGTCACAGACCTGAACAAGGGTGAAACTAACACACCAAAGCAGACATTGAACAATACAGACTCAATCTCTAAGCTTTTCAAGCAATTACTTCCTTTTAGACATATATATTCGAAGCTCAAATACCCAAAAACATGCAGAAAAATGTCTAATTTTTGACAAAGTAACGATTAGAAGATGATATGAGACTACCTTTAACAATTTTGTTAGTGCCTTTGATGGTATACGTGTCAAGCTCCTTCCTTCCCGGCTTGATTTTTGAGGCAACACCAGGTCGAGTTTTCGCCATGGAAGCTAGGGTTTCTCAAAAAGACTGGTTTTTTTATTTTTGTTTTGTTTCTGTAGCTTGAAATGTGTAAAGATTGGGGCTTTTTAGAAAATCAAGATGTGAAGATCGATG